TCAAAATCCTCATGTTAAGACTTGATATAAATTTGGACTACATGTTGTCAACCAAGAATGTGCCCGAGATCTGGTGCCAGATGTTGGAACTAGAAGTTCCACACCAACCAAACAGCCAGCCAACAGTTTTGGCATCGTCAAACAAATCGAATGAAAAATATAACCTGCAAACAGAAGGTTACAGCTCATGTTGTATGAAGTAACATCATATTGCAAAATGTGATACAGTGGTGTCTGGAGTGTAATGTATTACAAGACTGAAATATTAACCCTTGAAAACCTCCCAGCAAATTGTATGAGGATAATCATGACAAATACTGAACCATGACATTTTTCCCATAAATAAAAAAAAAAGAGTTGGAGTTCAAACTAACCAGTCTGAAGTGAGTGGTATCATTTAATGATTTATATACATTTATATATACCTTCTGTGCATTTTTATGTACATATTTAGTTTGCTCTTGCTGCTAAAATCGCCAATTATCGATAAAATACATTTGCAAAACTTAAAACCCTCTTAGCACCGCATCTTTTGATTAAAATCTTTTTTTACATTACACATCACAAGGGAAATCTGAAATGAAATATAAATTAAGACTCTGCTCTGTTCTCCCCCAAAAGTCTGGAAAAGGGGAAGAGAGACAGCTCGAGTGTCAGCCCGGTAAATCTCCATTCCTTCCTCCTGCATCCTGCCTGGTCACCTATATCCAGTTTTAATGCATGTATTTGTCAAACAGACTGAACTGAAGAACTGTTGTGAGCAGCGGTATAAGCTGGTAAATCCCATAACTCACACTGACACTTAATTCTTCCGTTTTTTATCTGTTTTTACACCCATATGCACACATACTCCAACACATTAATGATAACACATGATTCTTTGCTTACAACACACTCATAGTACCTGAGCTGTATAATTTGTATTGCAAACATGTAGTTTACTTTTCCATATTCAACATTAATTTATCTTACATTTTTCTAATTATGTTTCTATTTTACTGGAGCCGGTGTTTCTGGCACTGCCAGGGTTATTTACAAAGAGGATGGATACAGGAAGTGCCAGTTAGGCTGTACAAAGTGCCTGCCACATCAAGGGGGGGGTGGGGTTATTTAGTTGATTATCTTGTTAGATGCTTTGGTTAACACTGGCTCCTCACAGCAAGATTCCCACAGTCCGAAGACATGTAGCTTGATTGATGAATCTAAATTGCTCACAGGTGTAAATGGTGGTTTGTCTCTTGTTGTGCTAAAGCTGTGTCTCAATTCAGCGGTGGTACCCTGGCGAGGACCCAGTCTACGCAGCCCAACCGAAACAAGACGGTCTAGTCTTCCTATTGCATCACCAGCTTGTCCTGCCGTTACAGCTGTCGCCTAGCAACAAAGCTTGAAGGAAAATGTTCTTCGCTTGATGAAAAATGTTGAAAACGTGTATATGTTAAATGTTATCTGTTCGGTTGAGTACCTCCAGTTAGAAAAAAAATTCAGCTGACGTTTTCTCCTTGCTCTTTGCAGCCATTACCTCTACGAAAAACAGTTTGTCATTGAAGCGCAGTGAATCATGGGATATGCTGGGCTGGGAAGGATCCATCTGGTAGAGCCTCCGTTGCTCGGGGGTGGAAGGATACATTTGTCTGCTGCATTTTGAAGGAGCCTTTGAATTGGGACAATCTAGTGGCGCCGCTGTGACGCAATCAGTCTCCAAATGTAGCCTACGAACGATGCAGCCCCTAAATTGAGACACAGCTCGTATGTCCCCCTGTGAAACCCTGGAGACATGTCCAGAGTGTACCCCGCCTTCCGCCTGATGTCAGCTGGGATTGGCTCCAGTCCTCACACTCAAGGGATAAGCAGTATTGATAATGAGTGGATGGATTTTGTGTATTTCATTAAACTTAATTTTGTGTATTTTGAGAGATATTTTATTCTTTGATCAACACAAACTAAATGTTTTTTTCAAATTATAGACCAACTGTCCAAATATCCTGTTTAGTTGCATTTGCCATTTATGTTCTGTGTAATCGGGCAGATCACTCAGAATCTGGGTTCCCTTTTGTTCTGTGTTTATTAGACCACTTGGTTCGTTAACTTGCTTTCGTTCAATGGCCTGATTTCAGTTCCGCCCAGAATTTTTTTTGCTTGTTTGCTAAGCTCTTACATTATATTCAATATCCACTTGTGACTCCTCAGGCCTTTGAGCTCGGCTCCTCACAGGTCGCCTGGTGATACAACTACAGCTTAAATATCAAAATGTCAGTCCGACGCTGCTGCACCACAAAGCTGTTAACCTCTGGTCTGTCTCTGTCCGTGGTCAGCTACATTATCCATAAGTAGCTGCCATGAGAATCTCTAGGTCTGTAAAGCAGCAGCTGACGTATGAGACCACTTTGTTCCTTGAATTATCATTGACCTCTTTTCCACTGATTTTTGGGGATTGATTTTAATTCCGATCTGATTGGGCGATGTTCAATTTTACCTTGGCTTGAAATATTTATCACCTGTATATCAGCTTTTCAGTGTCTGCAGCGCTTTTTGCCCAGATGAAAAGCAATCAACCAATTATGTGAGCATGTGGACAAATCCCAAGGTAAAATAAATTCTACCAAGTGCTTAGTTGCCCACAAGGGTATAGATGCTGCTGAGGACACTAAAGACATGTTTCGATTTCTTTCCGGGAATTTGGCATTTAAGCAACCTGGGGGGAGTTTAAATTCTGCACAAACATATAAATACACATGGTCAGTATATTAAAGGCATGTCTATTCCCCCAAAGGAAATTATTTGCTGCAGACACATTTTCCCCTCTGTTGCCTGCCTTAGGGAAGCTGAGTGCAATGTTGCAACAATGTGGCATCACATTTCACATATCAGTGGCAAATCTCCTCTCAGTTTCTCCACTTGGCTCTGAACGGCTCCTCCAGCATCGTTAACCCACAAGGGGCAAATCAGGCCCTGACGGCAGGGGTGAAGTAAAGCATGTATCCCCAGCAGGAGCCTTGATATACAGTGATGTGTGTGATTGAGTGTGCGTGTGCGCATGTGAGTTACAATTCCTTCCACCCTGGAGGATGCAGTAAACACTGCTTTTATAATGATTTGAATATCAGCTCTCAGACTCTGAGGGGAGGATAAATGATTGCCATTAATTATAATAAATTAGCTTGTCAAGACTGCAATTATTTTGTTGCCACACAAACTGGTTATTCATAAGATGGCAGCGGTGGAATGCAGTGGCGTGAGTGACTTATGATTTTGTTGAACAATCAAAGCCAGGGAAGCTAATTGATTCACTCGTCAAACATTTAAAATAGCACAGCGCAACACTGTGTGTGTGTGTGTGTGTGTGTGTGTGTGTTAATGAGCAAAAGATGTGTGCAAGAACAAGAGTTAAATGCTGAACTGTCAACCTCAGAGACAACTCGTCGCTGGCTGAAAGCAAACTGCAAATTGCTGCCATCATGTGGAAACTCATTTGGAGTGCCACAGGATTCTTTGCATACTGGAGCAAATTCTGACTCATTTAGATGTGAAGTAGCTTTTCAAAATCAAACCGTACTTGAAATGTAAATTTAGGGATTCACCCCTCAAGGGCCAATTGAAGCTATTGCCTTTAAAAAAAACAAATGTGTATTTTCAACAAACATTCAGTTAATTTGACAAAATTTTGCTTGCAGATGGACAAAAGCCTCATTCCAAAGGATATATTTCTTTAGGGAGCAATGGTTTCAATTAATGATTTCCCTGAAATCCCATTAATGAGCACACTGATTTATGAAAGTATTTATTTTGGGGTGTAGCCACTGCTCCTGCTATAATTTAAGTTCACGTCCAGAGAAATAATTTGCATTTTAAAAGTTTATTACAGAGTTTTATGCAAGGACCTGCAAATCCTGACTTAAGTTAACTCAGTATTGAGTTTCAGTTCTCTGTGGTAACTGACAAACTGACACATAGGAACATTTAATGATAAGCACTTAGCAGCTAAAGAGCCTGACATTTTTCTCAGGTGTTGGTGGAGACATCAACAGAGATAAAAGGACACCGAATATTAGAATGGTGAAGCAAGATAATGCTTATATTACTGCAAAGCATGGAGCGGAAGAACAGAGCTTGGAAATAGTATTTACCATATCTGAGGAAGACAGGATTGGACAACATAATTTAATTTGGCCTCGATAACTCTGATTTACACACAACACAATAGGTTGTCACTCGCCGAACGAAAAAGTAGGAAAGGTTATCAAAAATCGAAGGTTATAGGAGATACAGTAGGGAATGGGGAAGATGAAGAAGTAGGATATTGAAACAGAGTCTATGGCGGTAATGCACCTTGAAGTTGGTTGCCACCCAACAATACACCAAATGAAGAAGAAGAAGAATGGTTATATTGTTTTGTATCTGCTGAAATGTAAACAGGCAACTGTTTAGAACATGAGTTTATTGCACAATATCCTTGTATACTACTGCCTCTGTCACAGTAATTATAGTATATCTATAGTATATAATTGTATTGTATTGTATTGAGTATTGGTCTCCTTGGCTACCAATAATTAACAATAAAGGCCTTGAAAAAACATTGTTTGACCCCTAATTTATACCAATCGAATGTGGACACAGATATTTATCCATGGTGTTCAATTTAAATGATATATTACTGCCATGCTGAAATGCTGTAAATATGACTTTTTACGACCCCAGAGTTTATGACTATAACCATGGAGATGTCCAAGTGCAGTCAACAACAATATCAAAAGTGCTTCCACTTTCACCTTGACATGTTTGAAAAATGTGGTCTGAGAAACTCATGATGGCAAAGCTGCCGCTGTGAAGTAAATAGTGAAAGTGAATTCCAGCATGTCTGGCCTCTTTACTGACCAGGACACACAAGCCTCAACTTTCTGTGGATTGCCGTTATCTCGGCCAGTTGCAATATAATTTTCCATAAAATTCCATTTCATTTAAGGCCCAAACACAGTCAAACAAACACACACATACACACTCACCTCTCCAGAGAAGGCTTGTCCATTCAGCAGGTGTTCAGAGCCCTGACCATCCTCACTGCCAAAGTGTAGCCGGATCTCCTCCAGGCGATGGCTGTATGTCATCGGCCCCCCAGAGATGTTAACCAGATGCTCCTTGTCCAGTCGCAGAGAGACATGGCGGCCCGTGTTGTACATCGTCCCTCCCACCTGAGAAAGAACACATGAAGGAAGGCTTAGCAGAGTTGCACTAGTAGTCTCATGAAATCAGGAAACTGTCTCAGTAATGTATTTTACATGGTTATTAATAATGAGGTCCAACTCAGTAGAGCACATACATGTACCTCTACTTAGGCCCAACTGTCCCCTTCAATTATATCAAGCCACACGAAACTTCACACAGATATCGGTCCACTAAACATGCCGAGGAAGAAATTGGTTAAAATATCAAAAAGAAAATCCTGTCTTAAATTGTTAAGGAGAGTGGAAAAAAAATAATTCCATAGTTTTTCAATAATCTTGCTGACAAACTAAACAACTAAGAAACCACCCAACCACGATGATTAGCTGAAGCACAGTCTTGGACACATGTCTATATTCTGCTCAATGAAACACTCCCAGCCCAGGAAGCTTTATTTTCTTGCACCACAGGGTACATTCTTGTGGTGTGGCTTGAAGATAACCACAAACATTAAAACCTAAATATATATATATATATATATATATATATATATATAAAACAATATTTGCTGTTGGTAGTATGCCTATACAAATATCATCTTGTAAAAATAATATATTTATGTGACAAATGTGTAAGTGTATACATTTATTCCATATTTGAGTAAAAGTTTATTTCTGTACAATATTGAAAGTTTAAAATCGACTGTGTTTCTACTATGCTGTGAAGTCTTCTTAAACCCGTAGTTGTGAAACAATCACTCCTGAAGGCGTTTCTAGAGACTTCTGGCTGACTTGACAGAGCAGTCAGTCATTTGTTTAGTAAAAGTCTTTGTAAAAGCGAGGAAAATCAGGTTCTCTTGAAGTCTTCAATCATGAGCTTGGGTTACAAGAATAAGGAGATGCTGCCGTCCTGCATTTCTGACAGATTAGGAGTTCAAGTCCTGAGGGCTTTATTTAATTAGGAAGCGATCCGAGCAGAGGGGAGAGGCAGCGTTGTAAAGTGAAACCACATTTCGACAGACAAAAGAAGAGCGCGGAGCCGCAGGTGAAAACAAAGGACAGGGGAAAGATGGAAAACAAGAAAGAATCGTGTTCAAAGGTTGACATCACCAGAATTCGCTCATGATCGGCTGCAAGGTTTTAGGGGTAAACATGGTATTACAAAAGCCTTGAATAACGATCTTTATCAGGGCTGTTTATTTATTTATAATCAGGAGCTGTTTCAAAGTGAGCCATTGATATTCAAGCGGCGAGTTATGGTGGACTTCCAACGCTCTTATCAGCCCCTTTCTCTCCTCTCCTCTTTCCGCTCCCCTTGCTTTTCCCCTCGCTCCCGCTCCCTCACTCTTTTTACCACTCGCTTTCAAAACGATCACGCCCCCTCCTCTAAATTCCCAGAGAAAGGAGTCTGCCCACACATTGTAAATATTTTATAGAAGTTCTGAAAAAAATCAATGATGAGAACGAGAGAGAAGGGGAGGCAAACCAAAGAGGAGATAAGAACAGGGAGCGGGAAGAGAGAGGTGCGTTGGAGTCAGTGAAGGCAAAGGTAGAGAGGAGTGAGTGATGGGAAGTCTTTTGGGTTTCTCCGGCGAGGTGACAGGGGTGAGGGGAGATGCCTAGAAAGACCACAGAAATCTTTAGAACGTATTTGGCTGTTCTTCAGGAGGTAGAGGTGGGAAGTGGCAAGTGACCTTGTCTGAAACATGCTAGTGGAAGAGTAATTGAGATAATAAACTGACAACACGCTGCAATGCACCTCAGATATATTAGATATTCCTGACATTATACCTACAGGTATACACTTTCCAAACATTCCAAACCACAGGCATTAAACATAACATGGTCTGGTAAATGGTTTATATTTATATAGAGCTTTTCTAGTTTTGATGACCACTCAAAGCACTTTACAGTACAGTTTTGCCATTCACCCATTCACCCTTTTTTCTATGAAGGGCAATTAGGGGTTCAGTATCTTTGGCATGCAGATGGGGAAGGCTGGCATCGAGCTGCTGACCTTCTGGTTGGAAGAGGACCGCTCTACCCCTCAGCCACCCCCGCCCCACCAGCATACAAACTATGGGCCTATGAGTAATGCTGTCTTTGGTGGTAATAAATGTAATAAACTTTTCACTTTCTCTCAGCTTTATGCAGTGTTATAGCTTCTTTTAACTCATTAGTTGGGTTCTACTTTATGAGTGGTAGAGGTCAAACGGGCGCATGAAGGCTAATTTAAGCTCAACTTTAGATAAACAGAAACGGATGGAGCCTTCTGTTCGTACTCTTCATTCATTTTATCTGTACTTGTGCACATCTTCTAAAGCTTACGGAGATTCATCGAAGTATGATGGCAGTAACAGTGACATCGTTTGAACGGACATATCTCTTTTTGTACACAAGGGAGCATAAATGAGCTTTATGGTAACCAGGGTGTTCTAACGGATAAAATACCGGAACAATGTCTTCCTACGCTTCATTTCATATTATGACCTGTTGTGTTGTTTGTTGTTGTCTGATAAGCCTTCATTTTGATAAATTAATTACAGCGAATGCCTGAGGCCCCAGATATACACCAATCAATGTTGACGCCTGTTTAAATGTTGTGGCTGATTGATGTATTCTCCCTTTTAGTGTGTGTGTGTGTGTGTTTGTGGTTCAGGTATTACTCATGTTGTGGGGACTTAAATATGTTAACACAGTCACATTATGGGGATTGTTCCTCCTCATGGGGACAAAAACCACGTCTCCATAATGTAAATCCTTACATTTAAACGTGAAGACATGTTTTAATGCTAGATTTAGCTTAGGGTTACCCAAGTAGTAACTGTAGTTATGGTACGTCAACAGGAAATGAATGTAAGTCGATGTAACATCCTCTCAAGTCAAGGAGACATGGCTGTGTGTGTGTGTGTGTGTGTGTGTGTGTGTGTGTGTGTGTGTGTGTGTGTGTGTGTGTGTGTGTGTGTGTGTGTGTGTGTGTGTGTGTGTGTGTGTGTGTGTGTGTGTGTGTGTGTGTGTGTGTGTGCGTGCATTTCTGAAAGAAAAATTAAAATTAATACAGAATAATTAGCAGGAATAATGTCATGATGATGTCACTATTAGGTCAGAAAATGACATGATAAGGTAATGCCTTGACTTTTGAAACAATAACATTCAAGACATGATCTGTGGATAATCCAATCATTTGTCATCATATTGTTTTGTGACACTTTGAAATAATTGTTATATGAAAAATATGAAATCAAAATTTGCTTTCTTTAACTGGAGGTAAGAGACATAGAAGCTAAACATTTAAGAAAGTCATTTAGAAGTGTGGCACAGCATAATGAAGAAAGTCTCTGGAATATAAGTCTCTCCAGCTTCATATCTTCACACTATTGTTTCATGTGGCTGTTTCATAGCAAGCAGTGTACACTCTGTGCAAAGGATGACAGCTTTTTTTCTCAGACAATATCTGTTGTTCAGGCTGATTGCTCATGTCAGGGTAAATGGCTAGAGGCTGGCTGGGAGGCGCGGGTAGTGAAGTGTGGTTGGAATGACAGAACAGAGGAGTGTAATCGTGTTTGTCCAACAGTGAAACCGAGACACGGCACGGCCTCTAAGACAGCATGTACAGTAAAAAGCAGCTCATTTTCTAATTGGTAATTCTTTCATCTCGTGGGATCGATAATCCCTGGCTAGTGAAGTGAAGTACTCACAACAGCAAAATAGAGCAGAACATCATGGTGGAGCTTGTGCGAAGAAAAAAAAAAGACCATGAAGCCTTACATGATGAAATCTTAGATATGCAAATGATAAACTCGAAAACTTTTTTTCTGTTTTAAAAAGAAACACACAAAGTGGAGCAGGAGAACTTCAAAAGTTTCTGAGAAGAGAATGAAAGCATGTAATCCCTCATATTCTATGTGAAAATCTAATGAGAAGGGGGTTGAAAGAGATCACATTTCGCCAGCTGGTGGGAGGTACAGTTGAATAAGACTTGCTTACTTCATTTGTCATGTTTCTGCAGCAACAACTACCAGACAAAGTCAATGCAGTGGAAAGGTTGCAAACAAAGCAAAGCCACTAGATACCAATCTGCTTTCTCATTATTCTTTTGGAGTCCCGACACTTGGGCGAGTAGTGAGGTAATTATTACGAGCAGGATGAGGGGCTCATATTTTCACTCTGCGCTGAATTTATTTCAGAAAAACGCTGGCTTTTGTGCTATATTCATGAACATAAATCCAGCCTGTCAGATAAGCACAGGACTTTGAGCTGCTTGTATATTGGACTGAGTCAATCAACAAAAACACTTCTAGCTGCGCTCATCTCATGTCTCAACATTATAACATCACACTGATTATACTGTCTCAGCTTTTATAACAAATTGCCTCTAAATTACACCAGGAACCACTTTGCTGCACTTCAGTTTTTTGGCAGTGTTGCTGTAAAACAGTACATGAATTCTGGACTCATAATAATAGACTGCACATAAATGTTCACATGGCCTGAATACAAGCTGGCTTTGGGTCTTTCTAGCTATCCAACAGAGCCGCATTGGCGTCCAAAAACGAATACAAATATATCAGTGAGCTACGCTGGACGGCATGTTGCCTCATCAGTAAGAACACACACATATTAGAGTTAATTTTGACTCAGTCCAAGATACATGTCTTGTTGCCAGAAACACTCACCAAACAAATGTGGATTAATCTGCTGCTGAAAATAGTCTCCAACAAATGCACTACTTCCTCCCATTTGAATCATGTCTGCTAAAAAGCGTAGTGGTCAGGAAATTACTGCGCCTCTTAGAAAAAATGAACTATATGTCAGTGACCCGTCGTCTTCTTCTTTGTTGGGTTTATTGGAGAGTGGCATTTCTGCTATCTTTTTATCCATCGCCTCAATATCTTCATTTACTCCTTCTTCAAGCGGATTGTCGGTGGGTTGCAACCAACATCAAGGTAATACATGTACTTCAATACAGTTGTTTTGATTTACAGAACTTACATGGACATAATGCACATATTTTAATGTAATGCTTTTCA